TTTTAAAATATTTTTTAATTCTTATTCTAGATTATAAGTTCTTTAGCTTTTATTATATTTAAGTTAAAGATTTTATTATTATTATATTTATTACTTAATAGTTAAATAGTAAAAGTATTAAAATACTTCTTATTCTTTAGTTTTTATAAAAACTATCTTAATCTTTACTTTTTATTAAAGTAAATTAAGTAATTATTATTATAATATATTATTTAGCTAAGACTTTTATAATTTATAATAAGTGCTATAGTATTTATAAACTTCTTATTTTATAGTTTAAAAACTAGTAATTATTATTTATTATTATCTTTTTTTAATAGGCTATAATAAAACTTTTTAATATATTTTTTTTTATAATTAAAGTATTTAATATTTTATTAATTATACTTTTTTTAATTAATAGTATTTAAATCTATTAGTTTAGGCTTTTTATTATTACTTAAGGTAATATTTTATTTCTTTTCTTAATTAATAAAGTATTTTTATTAAAAAGGCTTATTATTTCTTTATTTTTTTAAACTTTTTTTTTTATATTACTTATATAATTAATTATTAATTTAAGTTACTTTTTTTTAAAAGGTTTTTAAATATACTAAAGAGTTTATTTTCTATAAGTTTATCTTTTACTTTAAATTTTAGCCTTTAATAATATAGTATTTTTTAAGGCATTATTTATATTTATTTTAATACTAATTTATATAAATTCTATAATAAACTTTAAGTATAATCCCTTTTATTTAAGATTAAAAAGCTAGTTTTTAGCTTTTTTTTTTTTATTAATAGCTTTAAAAATATTTTTAAATTATTTTTTAAATTCTATATAGCTATTATAAATAGCAGTAGTAATAGTTTTATATTAAGTTATATTATTAATAATAGCTTTAAAATCTTATTAAAAAGGTTTAAACTAATCTTTTATTATTTTATTAAGTTATAAAGCAGTAATACTTACTTTTATTTTATTAATAGCTATAGTTATTAAAAAGTACTTAAAGTATATTCTTATATTTATAAAAAATACTTTAGTCTTTTTTATATTTTTATTATATATAACTAGTATAAGTAGTTTAATAATTTCTTTAAGTTATTTTTAAGTAATAATATTTTAAACTAAAGGATTTATAGCTAGTTATTAAACTAGTATAGGTTATATAATAAGAGCTTATTATTATTATTAAATCTAAATATATAAGGTTATAATCTTAACTTAATTAATAGCTTTTTATTATTATATTTATATAACTATATCTCTAAGTGCTATAAGTTATTATATTATAATTATTTTAGCTTTATTTTAGCCTTATTATTTAAAGTTTATATTTATTAAGGTTATTATATTAACTTATTACTATTACTTCTTTATATAAATAACACTTCTTTATAAATTACTGCTTAAGGGTTTAAAGTAATCTTTTAAATAAGAGTTATTAATATATAATAAACTAATTAACCTTATTAAGTAAGTTATACTTTTTAAAAAAGAAACTATTTAAGTAAATAGCTTTAATAAATAAGCTATTTAGGTTTTTATTAATAAAGAGGTTAAGTTAAATCTTAAGCAGTTATAAATAGTTATATAGCTAATAAATTATAATAAACTAATTTTAATTTAATTATAATATTAATAACTATTTATTTAAATTATTTAAATAAGTAATATAAATAAATCCTTATATAGCTAGTTATTTTTAATAAAGTTATTATAAATTAATATTAATTTATATTAATTTACCTTATAACTTAAATAAAATTACTATTAATTTATATTAACCTAATTCTTATTAGTCCTTTAAATTATAAATAATTTAATCCTGTTTACTAAGGGCAACCCTTGTTATAACCTTAAGAGTTAGGTTATAATATAATGCTAATAGTATATTAAGTTATTCTTTAAATATAATATTTAAACTAGATTTTACCTTTTTATTATAAAGGATAAGGTAGTTTTATATACTAATATATTTAATTAGCTAGATAAAGATAGCTTTTAGTTATATTTTTTTAATATTTTTTATTAAGAGAAGTATTTATTTTTAGGATTTAAGGACTTAAAGGTATAAGAGGTTTAGCTTATTATTATATTAGGCTTTATAAAGTATAATATTTAAGGATATTATTAATAAAATAATTTAAAGGTAGTTAATAGTTTTAAAAATATAAAGCTACTATTTTAATAAAATCTAGCTTTATATAAGTATTAGTATAAGTTCTAATATTAGTACTTATTATAATTATTTAATAAGCCTATTTTATTAATATTAATTTATACTTATATAAATAATCTTATTATATTTATTAATATAATAGTTAATAATAAAATAATTAATATTCTCTCCTTTAGTATTTATATAAAAGACTTAAACTTAGTATATAAAGGTTTTTAATTATATAAGTAAATAAACTAAAATATAATAAAAGTTAAACTTTAGCTTAAGTAAAAACACTTAGCTTATTTATATAAAGTTATTAAAAAAGGCATATTAAGAAAAGCTATTATTATATCTTAATTAAAAGAACTTTTTAATAAGGTTAATATATAGTAATTTTAATAATTATATTCTTTTTTTAATTATATATATATATAGCTGCTTTTTTTAATAGCTAGTAATATATAATATATATATATACTTTAGTTTTATAAATTAAAGGCTATTAGCTATTTTTATAAGTTATTTAATCTTATTTTTATTAAGGTGTTTTAGTTTATTATACTAAAGCTAGAGTTATAAGTCTTTAATAATAAAAGCTATAAGGCTAAGCTATAATATATTAATAATATAAACTTTATATTATAAGGCTATAATTAAAAAGACTATAGTCTTTTTTAAACCTATTATTATACTATTATAAATAATAATAGTATATATTTATTAATTAAGTTAAAATATAAAGATAAGGTTAAAACTAGTAAAAGAAATAAATAAAGTATTATAAAGCTATAAGTCTTTATAGCTTTAATTTATAGTATTATAAAGGTAAAAAGTTCTAGTTCTTTTAAAGATAATTTATATATCTCCTAGTCTTATAATAAAGGCCTTAATAATAAAGTATAAGTTATTAAACTAATATCTTTAATATATTATATAGTTTAATATACTATTATTAAAAATAAAAATGCTAGTAAGGTTAATATAAGTAATAGTAGTTACTCTTATTAAGGCTTAATATCTTATAGCTACTAAAGTAAAGGTTTATAATAGTATTTATTTAGTCTTAAAAGGATTAAGTATATAAAAAAAGGTAAAAGCTATAGCTAATAGTTTATTATTATTAATTATAGCTATATTTTATTATAAATACTATTTTTTTTAATAATTTAAGAACCTAACTTAAAGCTTATATTTTTATTATTTTATATTTTTTAATTAAAGTTCTAAATATAGTATTAAGTATTACTTTTTATAATAGCTAACCTTATAGTAATATAAGCAGGTATATTAAAAAGCTATTCTTAATTACTTAGTAATAAGTTTAAGGTTTTTATTTTATACCTTTTACTTAATTTCTTTATACTTAATAGCTATCTTAGCCTTTTTAAAAATAATAGCTACTAATATAATCCTTTTATTTATATATTTTAAAATAAGTTTTTAAGTTTAATAAAAAGTAAATTAGAAATTTTTATAATAATATCTTAGTTTAATAAAGAACTTATAAATTAAGGGTTTTTAATAATATAAGATTTATTAAGTTATAATAGCTTAATTTATATTATTTTAAGTTTTTTAATATAGTTTAATATATTACTATAGTTATTAAAAGTAAGCTTATTATATTTATAATTAAGGTCTTAAAAGATAATACTATTATAAAGCTTAAAGTTTTTTTTAAGTTAGTTAATAACTATATAAATATATTTTAAGTTATTAACTATACCTAAAGTAAAAAAACTTAGCTTACTTTAAATAAATACTATAATCTTTTCTTAATATTAAGTTTATAATTTCACTTAATTAATATAGTTTTTATTAAATTTTTTAGTCTTTTTATTTAATAGCATTTTATTTTATAAAAGGTTACTATAGCCTTATATTTTAATAATATATAAAATCTTTTTTTTTATATAATTTAGCTAAAAGATAATTTAAGTAGTTTAATTTTTATTTTATTAAGGCTTTTAAGGTTAAAGTTCTTTAATATATTTAATACTAATATCCTAAAGTATACTTAGCTTAATAGCTAGAGGATGCTTCTTTTATATTAGCTTATTCTTATTAATTAAAAGAGGAGATAGTATTAAAAGCAGAGATAGTATTTAAGAATAGCTTTTAACTTCTAGGTTCTAGATATTAATTTTATAATTAAGAGTTTATAAAAATGCCTTAAGCATAAAGTATCTTACTATAAGCTTTATATTTATCTTTTTTAAAAAAAAGTATAAACTTTCTTTATAGTTTAGTTAAAAAGCCTTATAAGGTATTTAGTTAATTTCTTCTATAAGTATAAAGTAACAGTCCTTTTAAATAAACCTTAATCTTATAGCTAGTAGCTATAAGTAAGGCTATAAATTATATTTATTTTCTATTTTATAAGTTTTATCTTATTATTTAAAGATTAGCTATTTATATAAGTAAAGAGAAAAGAGGTTTTAAAGATTTATATATATTAAGTTATAAATAATTATAATTTTAAAAAATATAATAATTAAAGAAGTAGTTTAATATATTATTTTCTAGATTTACTTAGTAATAAGTAGCTTTATTAATATTAAGGCTAGTTATATAAGTATAGTATTATAATTTTAGTATATTTATAAATATCTTAATAATAAAGAGGCAGTAAAAAGTAGTAGAGTTCTATAGCCTAGGCTTATAACTTATTAAAATAAAAAAGTGTAATATTATATATATATTAATAATATATAAAGGACTTAATATAACTAAATATAAATATTAAAGGCAGGGCCCTTCTTATATATTAGCTAAGATTTATAAAGATAGACTAGACTAGGGTCACCCTGTAGTTTAACAGTCTTATAATAAGGAAATTTAGCGAGGAAGATGTGGCATCTGTTAGTGCTCCCTGTTGCAACGTCTCAACCACATACCTACATACAAACGAAAAGCAAGCTAACTGGTGAAATAGTGGAACATCATGTACCAGGGAGCCATCCCCGTCACCATCTACGTGAATACTTGCAATACAATTGTCGGCTACGATTATTTCGCGCCTGGCAGGCGCACGCGAGTTGTTACTGATTTCTTCAATATCCAGGTCAATTTGATCGCGTGATATTGGGGAAATCGAGCCGGTATAAAGAAAAGGCCAATGAGAGGGCACCTATAACTTCTTCGAAATTCTTTTCTTCGTCCTCACTTCATTGGCTTCTTTTTTCAGTTTGCCGTGCATGGGGACATATTCATCTGTATTTTAGCTTTTTACATCCGTAACTCATCAAGATTGTTACCAGCTTGGTACTGCCAAAGCTCCGATACGTCTGTCTGGATTCTCTGTGCTACGACAAAGCCGTTGTTATGTATTTGATGAAGCAAATGCCGCACATTGTATCGTTGTGGTTCATATCTGGCGTGCGCTCCAGCCATTCGCAGAGGAAAGAGAAGGATTGCCCCTGGGATATTCGATGTTTGTAGGATCTGATCGCACAAGTCTGTGATTATGGCCACATATGCGTCAATCTCAGGTTTGTCCAATTGGGGAACTGTCCCAGCTTCCCAACATGTGTAATAAGTAAAATTGTTGCAGTGAAAGAGTCGAACGGCGTAAAAGTTTGCAAGAGCAAGTTGAGTGAAAGGATCCGCGAACTCTGACGCCGGGGCATTGCCATCATACCATGCATTGAGTATCTGATTCAGCTCATGGCCTCTGCGAGCCAGCGCTGTGACGACGAGATTGCACAACCTTACGTCTTCTGGTATTGGCTCGACCTGCTCAAAAAGCCCGCTATGTGTGAGAAAGGGCTATTCTGGCGTCGGCTTTTCGTACTTACTGCTTGCTGAATGCAGATGTTTCAATCAATAGCTCGGTCATGGTTGCCATGAAGTCTGGAGGCCCAGTGTGTCCGTTGCCAGTACAGTGATGTAGCCTCCACTTGTGTTCCGACAAGAAGGTGACATCTCCGTACAAGATTGCCCTGTTTGCCTCGAGCACTCGGAATGCGCTAAAGAGTCTTTGTTGTAGTGGCGATGAGAGAGCGGGTCGGCCGGCAAGCTGCAAAGCTTTCGATGTGCCGTAGAACATGTGTCTTGCCCATCCCTCCCCAAAAGATTCGGACATCAACTGGGCCGCGGTTTAGCTACGTGGGTGGTGTATTTGACGGGCGTCAGAATCTTACCTCGAATAAGCCCGATAGAAAAGAGATCCATGCCACATCTTCGCATGCGACAGCATCGCGCATTTCCAATCGCTGTTGAAGTGACTGCAAGGCGCGGCCGTAGGAACGATACGCAACAAAGTGCGGTAACTCCTGTTCAGGAGACGACCTGACTGAAACACGTCTTCCCGCATCCAGGGCGCCAATTGCGACGGCCAAGTCCCGCAACGATGGGGACTTTTGCATCAATGGCATCAAATCTCGCGCTATATGAACAAAGTCCTCGCTGAACTGACATCTGGAAAGCGTTGCGGCAAAGCTGCTCCAGTACACATCATTTCTGTGTGTCTGTACCTGCAGTGGTAGCTTTTCAGCTTCTGCTAGGCTTTGATTCGGTGGCATATATTTGACGAACTTGACACCTAAAGCAGCAGTGTCGGGGCGCGATGCAGCTTGAGGAGCGCATATCTTCTCGGTTCGATTGCAATATTCACAAGGAAAGCCGCCTTGACACTGCCGATGATGCATCATGAGTACTTTGGTCTTCATTAGCCCTTACTAGGAAGAACACACCTTTATTCGCCTTCTCGCACAAGCCAGGCAGCGAGTGACTCTCTTGCGCTTATCCAACGGACCAATTGCGCGTTTCATGACGCAGAATCTGCTTCTGCTGGTTAGGCCTGATGTGTAGCTCGTCACTATCTATCGCTTGGGCAGCGTATGCACCGGGAATCGCTTGGACCTACACAAATATGTCAGTCGGTTAGAGCAAGTCACAATTGGTTATGTGCTAGGTTTAAAAGCTCACTGTCTGGTGCATCAAACACTGGAGCCGCCAAGAAGCCTCGATCCAGTCTCGTGGCATCGTTCCGCGGCAAACAGGAGGCGCCAAGTGCCTTGCGAGTGCGGAATATTCGTCATCAACTGGTCGCTCTTATTAGCGTTGAGTCATTAGCGGGAAGATCTGCGTAGGAGTTCGGTAGAGCTTGCCTGTGGCGGTGCCTTCAGGATCAATTTTGGCCCATAGGAATCTGCTTGGCCCAAGGCATGCTCCCCTGTAAAACACTCATACCTTCTCCAGACAAGAATAGCGGGGGTTGCCGAGCCGCTGTACAGGGTCGAGGGAGCAGGCAGTGAGCATGTGTCACATGATGTCACGGTCAACGACATGAGTATGGCGCTTACAACCCAAGATTGACCTTGCAGTGTTCTCTTTTCAATCCGATAGTCAAGAGCTATCGTTATAGCATGCGCTGTAGACATGAATGTGCCCGCGCCTTTGCTGAGTTCGAATGGTTGAGAACTGTAGGTACCTACTATGTTAGGTAGGTAACTTACACTTGGCGCAGAAGCTGTCTGGCTGACAACCTGATAGTAACGAGACTCCGACATAACTTCGACCATATGGAAAACATTAATTCGGGATTGATGGTATACGGCGCCGCAGGAAGATATACTTGCATATGAGACGTGGGAATTTTACTTTATGTCCTATAGGAGGGTGTACGTACATTCTTCAGCAGATATAAATTATATGTTCGGTGCATAGGGTAATTAAACGAAACGTAGTTTCGATTTGATTTGACTATCGGTACAAACAGAATGACGAGAATAAGAGAACGCCCTCAATAACTCAAAAGCAGGTGGCTGCCGAAAGTCAAGGAAGTAACTCATAAATCCTCTCCCACTCAACCATCCCACCCAGGTGCAAACCCGCCAGAAGATAAGGTAAGGTACGCAGTAAAACCGCTCCCGGATGACATCTGATACAGCATAGAATTAGGAAACGTAGTTAACGGTCAGCTCTCCGTTGTCGACGTTGTTGCCATCATCAGTAGGGACACTGCCGCAGACGGTGCAGCCGTGATCCGTGAGCCAGTCAAGGTACATCAAAGTCTGCTGCGTGGTGAAAGTGCGATCGCCGACATTCTGGTAGAAAGCGCAGATCTTGCCAGTGACGTGAGCAACGCAGCCGATTTGTTGACCATTGCCCCAAACGCCATCACCCTGTCCAGCAATGGTGTTTTTGAGATCGTCGATATGTCCGGCCGGGAGGTTTGCAACGCCTCCAACACTGCAGGTAGAGCTACCGCGGCAGTTGATACCCAAGCGCTTCGACAACTTGGAAACAGTTTCCATCTTGCCCACGGCGTGAGACTCAGATCCATGCCTCTTTCTAACAGTCTTGACCATGCCGGTATCGCGGCGCTTTGCATTGGTGACCATGTTGGCAGTCAACTCCCCGTTGTCGACATTATTGCCATCGTCCACAGGGATGCTGCCGCATGCTGTACAGCCATGGTCCATCAGAGACTGGACATACCAGACGGTCTGGGCCACAGTGAACGTTCGGCCGGTCTTCTGGTAGAATATACAGAGACTTGGATTGCCAATAGTGACGGAAGACTCGGTGCAGGCAATGTGTTGGCCATCAGAGAAGGTCTGGCTTTGGTCCATCGCTTTGATCTGGCCCAGGAGGTTTCCTAGAAGGCCCTTGTTGCTGGCGCAGAGACCACTACCTTGGCAGTTAATGCCCAAGGCGTTGACTGTGGAAGCAATGCCGGCAAGGGCGAAGAGTGTTCTGCCGAAAAACATGATCGAAATCTTGATACGTATGGGTGAAGTAGTGATCTGAGAGTTCGGGATGCTGTGGATGATGTTGGAGTTGATGGTGATGGAGGAATGGTTCTTTCTGCAGAGCGCGCGAGTGCCTTATTTATATCTTGAAGACCACGAAGTTAACGGTAAGACTGTCTAAGGATACCAATGCCCTTCACCGGGCGTCTACATGAATGCGAAGGGAACAAGGGTCAACCCATTATGTTACGGTCCGGATGTAGTTACAAGTTGCAACGCAGAATGGAGAGATCGGCAAGAAAGTCAGACTTGGCTGCGTCGGTGGATGTTTGTTCTGTCAGACTCAATTTGTCTTGCTACCCACACAAAGCGTTTTGCAAAAGACAGCAAAATGAACATGTGCATACGCCAATGCAATACGCACAGTCTCGCAGACCAATTAGCCTTGCTCATGTGTGCGCAATATTGGACTCGGTGTGCTGATCGTTTCTCGATTGTCAATTTTTCGGCAAACCGCTTGCCGCAGTCTGGGAATGTACCCACAGGACTTGACTCGTTCCCCGGGGATGCAATAAGCATCAACCCCTGAGACTGAGAATCAATTCCAAGATCAGAAGGTGCTTCAACATAATCACGACTTGGAACCTCAGGTGTACCAAGACTCCACGATACCACGCCGGCAACAATTTTCCGTGTTGAAGGGCGATGGTTCTTATTGCTTCGAACCTCAGCCCAACTGCGGAAATATACTTGACCGAGCTTTGATAGTTATGAGTCAGGTACAGACGAATAATGAGACTCATGCATGGACGACTTCCGTAGGACCAAGGAGCGCTTTTTTTCAATTTCAAAATAATCTTTCTTGCAGTTGGCTGTAGTTGAATTCCATCTTCAGTTCTTCCCGAGCAGTCGTACCACTCTTAAAATGACGTCAGTGCATAGAAAAGGGGCATGCCCAACTCCACGTTGTGGAAATAAGAGCAAGCATTATGCTTATCTGGCTGTCAGCGATCTTCAGCCCGGCACCTGGATGCAATGTGCTGTATGAATATACTACATGGCTAGAACTTTTGGACTCCACATCTGCAAGAGACAAACTATTTATACGTACGGAGTATGGACGAGCGAGGACAGAGAGTGGTCAAGGCTTTCCCGATGCCTGTAAATACTACTAGGCAAGATCTATCATAATATTCAGACAAATTCGAAATGCTCAGCCTTTGCATTGTATATCGCGCCCGACTATGAGACTGCAAATGAATTTGTATACAGTTAGCTTCCTAGACAGTACCCGTATCGATATCTCTTGAACCCAAGTTTCCCTATGAGGCATACCAACGTGCCACTACGTACGGTACCTTTATACGATACTCTTCTCGACATGAATCGCTGTGTCAGGGGAAAGACCCGTTATAGCTAGGCTTTGATCCCCCATAGACGTCGATCGCTTCTTACTACCCCCTGTCTCCCTCAGCACTAGCATGGGCGGGATGAAATTATCATTGTAGACCGTCAACCAGAACATAGCCTCATGGAAGCATGTGGGTATTACGTAGTAGGAATTGTTGTATGTTAGAGTGCTATAGGAAAACAGCATTTCGCCGTCTTGGCCGTCCAGATTGTCGGATCGCCTCATATTATTGGTGGATTAGATGGTCATCGCCAAGCCACTGTCAGGGATCGGTCGATATAGATCTGGAAGGCCGAGTCATTGAACGATCCCTCACTGGCACGTGCTTCGCGTTGTTTGCTCCAAATGTCAGCATCATGTGGAGCTGTCCCATGGACGGAATCGCAGATGTTATTCGTTGAGAGGCATTTGAATTGCATATGCTACACTGTCCAGCGCTACTTTACAGGCATTAGTCATAGTGTTACACTTCAGTCGATGTCTTCGCCCGCTCACAGAACATTCTAACAGACCAGCTTGGCTGTTTGTATTCTTTTGTTTCTCACAGTCTTTCTCTTCGAGTCCGTCGCAAAGCATGCGGTAAATACATATACAGGCTATACAGAATGCGTGTGCTGTAATTCTTTGTGGCCATGGCAATCAACTCAGTATTTTGCGGAACAGTTGATCAAATAGGCGTCAGGCAGACAGTGCTTCTAATACAGTCCCATTGCTTGACAACCTTACCGCTGAGGGCCTGTTCACTCTCGACATCATAGCCTAAGAAAAATAGATCAGCCTGTCACTTAGAATCCCAATTGTAACCGAATTATTGGCAACTCCGCATGTCTCGGTTTTTCATGTTAATAAGGAAGAGAAGCAGAAAGAGAGGCCCCTTGCTATTCTCCTTGATCTTTCAGGTGTAATGTTCGTGTATCGGCAAACCCGGTGACATGTGAAACATCATAATTTATTATTTTGTCTCTGGCTGATTAAGGCAGAATAGGATACACGACTGGTGTATAAGCTTCAGGGGAATGCATGTTCGGAGGCCATAGGACGCATGCACCGGCAGCTACATTCGGCATATTCCGCGCCATCGCCTACTTCTACGACACAGTGTGGCATCTCGAAGGTGGATGCCCTACTCATGCGTTCCTCGGATTTTCATGTGTTAGTTGAGAGATGGGCTAGCATCATTACCCTATATTCAAGTCTCGCAGGTATTGTTGTTGTTGTTGTTGTTGTTGTTGTTGTTGTTGTTGTTGTTGTCTATGGGAACAGAGAAAGAGACAATTTGGCCTTGGCCTAATAGAGTACTTGATAAGCACATATTACCAGTTGGGTGTTTTGCAAATGTAAACAATTACCATTTGAAGTCACGACTTATAGATACCTGGATAAGGTAGGCTATGGACCGGCCCGCACGTGGCCTGTCTATTGTTTGAGATCCGCTCATGTACAGCTGAATGCCGGAAAACAAAACACGAGATCAGAAGTCAAGATAATACTAGGGTTCCATCCGACGTTTACAATACCCTACTTCCACATTGTGCGGGGTCAGAAATGCTCATGAGCATTGGTTTTCAGTATCCGACGGGAGTGTCGCAAAGCATAGCGGCTAGACGCCGAATGTGCTGGCTTTAATTGCCATGATGCCCAGCGAGGCCGACTGACGTCACTTGATCCATTCGGAGTCGCATAGTATTAATTGAAAGAGGTCTGTTGAACGGACCAATGGTAACTAAACATGGATAAATTGTTATCAAGGATCAAATACCTACTCACTACATGTTTAGTCTTCACGGTCTGCCACCTATCCCGTCCACTTCCTCTTCAAACTGGCCTCTATGCTCTTGTAAATAACATCTCAACGCTTGGCCACAGCACAGGGGTCTAGGATTATGGTAAACAGCTAATGCTGGAGAGTTAGCAGACCTGGTCGGTAAGGCCAAAGGTTATAGTCTCCTCCAGAATCTGTCGCCCTCCCTTGGTACAAGAACTGCAAGTTGCAAGGGTCAATAGTCATCGTTTGATCAGGGTTGCTGCGAATGAGATCGCCATGACTGATGTCGTTTGTCCAGGTGGCGCCACTGTTCGCCTTGCCGGCGAACGGTTGACTTTCGGTCGTGGCTTGCGGAGTCCATGCGCCGCCGAGGTTAGTGGCTGTAAATGACCGGAAATAGCGTCCATTTGCACCTATTGCCTCGACTATCATGAGATATTGCTTCTGCCCTTGAACGGTGTAGACTTGAACCGCCTCAAACAGACTGTTTCTTTCGTCACTCAAGACTACTGTTGACGACGAACCGAAGCTTCCGGGGAAGTTCCCAATAGGCATGCTCGCTCTGTAAATTTTTCCATCGTCTCCCGCGAAGAACAGATACATGTTCGTGCTGTCGCCGATGACTGTCTGGTCCAGCGGGCTAGAGCCTGAGATGCTGCCAGAAAAGAGCGGCTGTGGCGAGGACCATCCGGTGACGCTGGACGGATTGTTTGACGTCAAATAGGAAAAGGTGGTCGGGCCCCATTGATACGCGAGTACCCAAATACTCTTTGGGGCAAAGTAGAAGACGGTTGGAGCAACAGTACCCGGAGTCATTTTGTTCTGGCTCGCCGTTGCCATATCAGACCAGTCGCTGAACAGACCAAAGTTCATCGAGCCCCAGGCTGTTCCTGTGTCATGCGTCGACCCCCACACGAGATGCTGGCCATTATACAAGACATGAGAGAAATCTTTCAGTGAGACCCAGCCTGATATCGGACTGGCCAACGCGCCGGTCGAATTCCAGCGGTACGTAGACGGAAGAGTGCATGCTGTAGGTGCTGCTACGGCGGCAGTCCCAAAGCTCAACACCAACCCGATGAGTGCTGTGAGCTTCATCATAGTCTTTTGTGCCTAGAGACAATGGAAACCGATGAAGGTTAAGATGAGAACGGCGGCAACAGCTGGGTTCCCATAGGGTTTAAATATAACTATGCGAGCTCGCATTGCTCACTCAGGATTCTACGTTCTCGACTGGATTTCTTTAGTCAAGTACAAAATTGCGCTGTAAATATTATAATCGCGTCTTAAAGCCGGTAGGCTCTTCAGTGATCGCTACTGCTATATATCAATGTTGCAGCGACTAACAGAAAAGCGCCCCAATGGCCTTTCCACTTCACACACCATCTCCACCCTGCGGAGGCAGTATTCAAGGCAATTTCAGTAATTTGGAGGTCTTTGTAAATATATGACGGCTAAATCATCGGCCTTCAAATCAACCGCTCTTCATGTATTCACGTAAGAAAGTAGCTGATGTACAGCGAAGTTTTTAACCGTTTCGATCTACCATTAGGCTATTTGATGATGTACTATAGGCGCTCAGTCACTCCGTGCGATTTCCATGCAGACTTATGAAGTCCTCGCCGTGGGGCAGTTATGGCATGTGACTTAAATTCCATTATTAACGTAATCGAATCGTCAACAGAAGTATCGTCTGTAAATATGAGCCTGAATACGTTTTGCAGACAACTGGCCGGTAATTGGCGAGATGTGGCATGCTTGTAGCCTCTCAACAACTGCTACCAGAGTGCTGAGTTGCAATATCCATGTGGTTGGGATATGCGGAGATTAGCAAGCCAGATGTTGACGAAGAAGAGGACATGTCCCATGCGCTATAGAAAATAGTAGAAACGCTAAAAGTCCGGCTGTCTTTACTCTGGTTGAAATCACTGCTAATAGTCGCGCTGCAAGCATTGAAAGGACCTGTTTGCACGACCGCTAACAGCTTGCTGGTCCCTATGTATTACTACCTTACTCTGTAGGTAGGACACGAGGTAAAGTGCCTGGCTGAAGAACCACCCATGTATGACACTGAAATAGGGAGGCACGGAGGAGAGGAACTTGGTTTCCGTACCCACAAAGACAAACGCCGGAATCCCTAAACGTTGAATCTGAGTTTGTGCGTGCCTGGGACAGAGAAATTCCAACCTTGATGCCCGCTCTCATGTAGGGGCCATGGAAATGCGAAACCTCAATACCAACCTTCTGAGAAGCAAACAACGGCGTGCCTCCAGCCGCCGCCGTTTCGATGCAGCCAAAGTCTCGCAGAGCTCGACCCACGTGCGTACACAATGGCGGTCAAGGACGTACCATGCATCATGGTCTGTATACACATCTCCCATTGAACAAGTCTTGCACTGGGAATCACTACAAGCTGCACCCGTCCGGCAAACGCGGCAATAGGGTCGCTACCGATCTCCTCTAATATTCCCGCATGCAATTTTGAAAGGCCTTCTCCATGGCTTCGGTGAGCATAATAAATCTCAGCGCATGATGGATTGCAGGCTAACTGACCCGTCTTCGCTGTTACGAGATATTGACGCACTATGCACAGAAGTCAGGAATGAGAGGCATACAAATCACAGGCGTCTCTGGCCTTCACCCAGTGACCCAGATTCAAGGCTCTTCGTAGTGAGTTGTCTGGTAACTTGTAGCAGTTGGCAAACATATTTCATCCAGTAGATTCCCCGAACTCGCAACTCATTGGGCACCATCGCGCGCATGGCGGCATTGGTGATCTCGATTACCGGAGGCTATCATTTACGCTAAGCCCTACAGACAGCGCTATAGCGCCGCTTGTTTCTGATGGATGCAATAGAATGGGCAGTAGAAAACACGTGGGCGCTTAAAGACTGGACTTCGGTGAACCAAAACAGCGTGAATCAAGAGCATCTCGACAACCTGCCTGAACGGGAACGAAATGCGTGGTGAAGCCCCGCAAGCTCTCGTCGCGGGGTTACATAGGGCGTAGAGACGAGACTCAAGACAAGGATAAGAGATTTTCAGAGCACGCGTAGAGCTAGCCACTGGACTTATAAATAAGGAAGATAGACTCAGTATCTGTGACAATTTCATTGACAACACTATTGTTTGCCAGCCATCACATCACATATTTGCCAAACATGAAGCACATACTGGGAAAGGTCGTGTCTGCGGCCCTACTTCTGCCCGCCGTTATGGCAGCGGATGGCCCCATGGTTCCTGACTACGAAGTCCATCTGCTAATGGACCCCTCTGCTGTTCTCGGTTCCGACTTCAAGCTCACGCCCACTGTTCTCTCCACCTTTGCCATGCCAACGACTGTCACAAAGATCAACGTACAATACCTTGACACAACTACCGAAGACTTTCATGTCAATGGATGGAGCTGCCGCATCCGCAACGTTGAGAACAAGAGCGGCTTTGACCTCACGTACAAGTGGCGTCTACCGGTCAGCAACGGGGACATCAACGGGGCGCTGAACACGGCTTTCAGCGACGGCTGGAACTCGGGCCAAGGCAACTACGATGCTCAAATCGACTGGCTGTATTCTGCTCAGACGCTCTCTATTCAGAGAGACTATTCAGCGTCATCACAGGGATACAGCGGCACGGACGACCCAAACGAGAAGGACTCCCGCAACATGCTTGAAGACAACGCCCCGGGCATGTTTGACGACTGGGTCTCGGACGGCTGGGGTACCAGTCTGCTGAAGAGCGCCGTTATTTACGGCCCAATTCTGACCAAGCGCTCCACCGGAACGTGGAATGGCCTGGAACTCGACATTGAGGTGTGGCCGATTGAGAACTCGAGCGGCACTGGGATCGAGTACCTTGTTGAGGCCTCTTTCAAGACGGATGACTATGATACAGCTTCAACGCTGCGCGATCAGCTGATCACACTCCTGCAAAACAATGGCTGGTTCTTGGCCGAGAGCGTGTCGAAGGAGGACCTGGTCATGGAAAACTACCACCCAACATCTTAGGCTGTGATGTATCAGCAAAGCTCGTGGACCATACCTACATACACAGCTTTGAGTACAGATTTTCGTCAATATACCCTAGACTTTGTACATATTCAATCGCTGCTATTAAAGCTCTGTTAACACCCCCTGGTCCTGCAGATGGAGGGCAGAGGTCGCTTCCCCTTATAACTTTAATCTATCGCCGCCCTTACCCCCCCTCCTATATGCCCTAGGATTATCCCTGCTTATAGCAACTACGTCTGCCTAGGCCTAGCACTTCTGCTACTTAGTAAAGATAAGGCTGCTATAGCCTATAATAATTAGCTTAGCCAGCTGCCTTATATAAATATAGTTAATTACTTTAATAGCTCCTTATTAAAAGGGAGGGCTAGCTAAAAAGCAGCTATAGTTATTTAAGGCTACTAGCTTATTTATAGCAGGTATAGCATACTGCAGTTTACTAAAGTCTTTAATATTAAAATCTTTAAGGCCTTTACTATAATCTACACTATAGTAAAACTCCTTTATAAAGCTTAATAACTCCCCTTTTATTAATAACTACGCGCTACTTACTACTTCCTTAATAACTTAGTAGTTATAGCTAGGCTATAATATATACTATTAAATAGCTTTTAGCAGAAATTCCTTAAATTTTAATGCCTTACTTATACCTTAAGTTATTTAAAGTGCTAGACCTTAGTCTTATAAGTCCTTAGCTATAAAGATATCTTTAAGAATAAAAAAGCTAACTTCTTTATTAAGCAGGGTATAGTATACTAACCTTTAGCTATATACTTATTACTAGCCTTCCTTAAGTATAAAAATAAATCTTAAAAAAAGGAGCTAGCCTTTAACTATTAAGAATAAATAGCACTATAGCGCTATAAGAACCTAGACCTCCTTTAAAGATAAAAACTAAAAGAGCTTTTTATCTTATGCCTTATACTTTACTACTTACTAATTAAAAGATCTAGCTATAGCTCTTACTAGTTATATTATAATTATATAAGCTATAATAAAAATACTATTTATATTTATAAATGCTTAAAAGCTATACTGTCACAACCTAACACTTATAGTTATAACTAAGGACTACCCTTAGCAGACAGTACTAGATAAACATTAGACTAATTAGCTAATTAGGAATAGATTATTAAATCCTTTAATAATCTAAGGGATAGATTATCTCTTATATAAATAATCTAGGAATAGGATTATTTAAATATTAAATAATCTAGACAGAATAACTAGCTATATAAGGATTTATTTATAACACTTATTTAAATAGTTTAAGTAAATAGCTATTAATATAGTAATTAAATTAGAATTAGTTTATTATAATCTACTAGCTATATAACTATTTACTATACTTAAGACCTAACCTAACTTTCTGCTAATATAAACCTAAATAGCTCTCTTAATTAAAGCTATTCACTTAAACAGTTTATCCTTTAGGAAATATATATTCTTATTAATTATAAGAACGCTAGTTTATTATATATTAATAACTCTTATTTAGGAAGTTACCTTAGACTTTTAGGTAATATCTTATAAGGAGGTGTTACTTAGAAGTAATAGTAATAAGTTAATATAGCAACCTTAATATAAATAGACTTTAAGCAAGTAGTTAAAAATGCAGCTCTTTAATAACTTATAGCTTTTAAAGCCTTAGTTTAATAAATAAACTAAGAATGTATTTAATAATAAGATAAAATTACAGTCTTATAAGCTTAACTTAATTAATAACAGTAAGCTCCTGTTATATAACCTGCACTAGTTTAATAACTAGTTATAAATCCTCTAGCCTAGAATATTACTATGCCTAAGTAACCTAAAGAGATTATTAAACCACTAATGCCAGCTATATATAACAGAGATATAAAAAAGACTAAAGCATTCCTTATAAATATAAAAGCATACTTTAGGTACTTTTACTTTTTAATAACTATAGCTACTAATAAGATAAAAGTAAGTATTACTGCCTTATAACTTAATAAGATAGTAAAAGATTAGTTTAAACCCTTTTAATAAGACTTTAAAGCCACTATTAATAACATAACTTAACGCAAGGCTACTATTATTACTATTTATACTAGCTATATAGAATTTAAAAAGTAACTTAAGATAATTTTTAAAGCTATTAATAAAAAGAAGGAAGCTAAGAACTAGCTCCTTAATCTTAAATAAAAGGGATTATGCTTAAAGTTTACTGCAGAATTTATATAAATTAATACTAAAATAGATATAGATAATACCTTAAAGAGAGTGCTATACTATTAAGGATTAAAATTTAAAGTAAAAAATAAACTTATATAAGATAAACTCCTTAGCATATTTAAGAACCTCTTAAAAAAAGCAACTTAAATTAATAATTAATTATATAAGTAATATAAGGAATAAAGTTTAAAAAAATAAGGGAATAATAAGCCTTTTTAATAAAAATACTTTACTAATTAAAGAAAGAAATAAGATATTGCCTTAAGTAATAATAAGAAACCTAGTCTAATAGATTTAGACACTATTAACTAGAAGAAGCATAATTAATAAAACATTAAATGCTTTAATTATAAAAAGAAAGGATATATTAAGAAGTTCTACTATAGCCTATTAAAAAAGAATAATAGTAAATAGTAGTTACTAGTACTTAAACTATAAGATAAGAAGTCTATAAATACTATAGCACTTACTATAAACTATAAAAGTCTTAATTAAACAGTATGCTATAATAATAATTACTTAATTTACTTTAGTAAGAAATAGGGATTAAGATAGTTTTTAAAGAAACTAAGGAATAAGAAGTATATTAACACTCTTACTATTTAACTATTAAGTAATAAATATAGTAATAATAAAATCTCTAACTTAAATATAATAAAAGCTAAAGAATTTATAATCTAGAATAAGAACTAGGAGATATCTTAAAAAGAATAATAAGAAATAGTTAAACTTAATAAGATTTAAAAAGCTATAAAAATAAAATAATTAAAATAAGAATATTATAAAGGATATAGATCTTAAGATATTAATAATACTAAATATAATTACAGTTATTATTTTAATAATTAAGAACTAGTAATCTCTAATATAATCCTACTTTACCCCTTAACTAATAAAATAGCTAAAAGAGCTATAAATAAGCCTATACTATATAGTAAGGAAACTAAAAGAGGATTAGCACTAGTAACCTTTATAAAAGTAGCTATTAGTAAGAAATTATAAAATAAATAATAACTATAGTACTATTAAAGCATAAATAATTTAATAATATTAGATTTTCTCTTTATAAAAGCTAATATAAAATAAGACCTATTTATTATAAAATATAGTAAAAAGGATAGAGATAACTATAATAAAGTCTTCTATTAGGACTATATTATAAGTAAAGTTATAAATTAGCATAATTAAAAGTAATAAATAATATATAAATAGCATAAGTTTACTCTTTATAATAAGTACTACTATAACTTTTATAATGCATACTAATAGGCACTTAAAAAAGTAAGCAGAAAGCTTATATAAAGCAGGTATAATCTTATAAATTATATAATAAGGATAGGTAAGTATAATAAAGTACTTAATCTATAAGATATTAAGTAATACTACTGCTTAATAAGGCACCTTAAACTAAAGCAAGGCTGCTATTAGTATAAAAAGTACTATACTTATAAACTAGAAGTTATTTAAATATAAATAAATATTAATAATATTAGCATAAAGGATAGTATAATAAAAAACCACTACCTTAACTTAATAAAGATAAACTCTAATTAAAAGAATAAGTTTTTAATAAAAGGAATACTAAAAAGGCATATAGTTATTATATATATTAATAGCAGAGTAATAGCAAGCTATATTACACCTTAGCTAGTTAACTGCCTATAGCTGCTAAACTATTTAAAGGAATACCTATACTTACTTATAAGTATTAAGGCATAGAAGTTTTTATATAATAAAGGGATAGTTAATTAAGAGACTAATTACCTTAACATTAGCTTTTATAAGCTTATTAATTTATTTTAATTTAATATTATAAATATCTAAAGGTATAATCTCCTTTTAAAATATAATTAGTTAAGAATATATAATTTAATAATTAACTAAGTAAAAGGCTATATAAAATAGCAAAACTACACTTAACTAGAAGAAGGAAAATAAAGATAATAACTAGATTAAGATAAGCTATAGAATATTATAATATCCCTAGCCCTAGCGCTAAAAGCTACTGCATTATATAATAGAATAATATAACTACTTAGAAAAGCTATAAAAATATTAAAAACATAAGAATTAAAAAAATAAAGAAAAAATAAAAAAACTAAAAAGGCTAAAAGAATACTACTAAAATAAGAAAAGGCTAAAAGAATACTATAAAAAAAGAAAGTTAGATTTAATAAAAAAGTAAATATTATACTATAATACTATAATAATTAATAAAAAGGCTTATAAAAACAAGCTAAGAGAACACTTAATATAGTATTATAAGACCTATATTTTATTAATATAATAATAGAAAAGGTAAAGGATAGTAAGCTAAAGGATAGAATAGCTAATATACCCTGTAAATACTATAAATTTTAAAGAGTATTCTAAGAAAAACTTAAAATAAGGTTACTATTAAATATAAAATAAGACTATAAAATTAAACTAAAAGATAAGAAGAACTTAATATTTTATAAAATCTATAATCTTAACTAGAATAAACTTAAGACACTTTAAGACTAGATTAATAACTAATTATAAAAAGGATATATTAAACTATTAAAATTATTAGTAAAATACCTTATAATATTTATACTAAAGAAAAATAGAAAATTATAACTTATTATTAACTACTAAAAACTTAATAAGATTATAAAGAAAGATATTATACCTTTATTATTAATAACTAAAATCAGAGACTAGTTATTTAAAGTAAAATAGTTTATAGCACTTAACTTTAAAAGAGCCTATAACCTTATTTATATTAAACTAGGAGATAAATAAAAAATAGCATTTAGAATATGCTATAGATTATTTAAATG